CTCATAGTCGCATTTTCCACATTTCGGATAGCCATGGTTGATTCTGCTGCTTTTGGCCATATTTGGCCATGGTTATGGCTATGGTCATGTCTGGCCTGTTACCAGTGGGGACACATGGCTGACCAGTGCACTGACAGGGTACCCTCGCCCCGAGACTGAAGTGCACGGCAAAGAGCACGTTTAACACCCCAGAAGCAGCCAAAAACCATCATCATCATCAGCTGGAACACTCCTCTTTGGCTCGGGCTTGGGCTCGGGCTCAGGCCGAGGGGAACTGAGCAAACAAATAGAGAAGGACGAACCACTCAAAGGAGCACCATGAGAGAGACAGGCAGTGAAAGAGAGAGAGAGAGAGTGTACCCATTGCTGTGGCTTAGCACTCGACTCGAGTCACGTAAATGTCCGACCATTACTCTCCTCTCGCTGTCTCTCTCTCTTGATGTGTTTTCCCTGTCGTTCTTTCTGTTGACATGCTCGGAGCCCCGACCTCGACTCCGATTTCGACTCCGAAAGATGTTGCTACCAATTTCGGTGGTAGTTCTCCTCTCAAGTGTCGTTAATGCCCCCAAAACTTTATTTATTTATACGAAATCGAATGCGGAAGTGTCCTGTTCAGTCGCTAATCATGTTTTTAGTGTGAGCTGTCAATGTACCTGGGCAAATAAATATATATCTATGGGTAATATCTGGGAGAAGCTTCCCCCCGCGGGTAATTTTCTTTAAGTTCCCTGACAAATCCCGCCCTCAGGCCATTACTCCCCACTTTCAGGGCACATAAAAATATCATAAAGATTTCCCGAATCTGTCTTCCCTCAGGGTTTTTCCACTCTGTGTCTTTCTCCTGAATGTCTGTTAAATTTTGCGCAAATGCCAAAGTTTACACGCATCAGCAGGAGCTTCTCCACAGGAAGCGAGTGGGCAGGACACAAGAGGGGGGGCGGCGGGGAGAGTGTGAAAAACTTTAAAGAAATCCGAATAAAAGCAATGCAATATCAAAAGTTTCACTGCCAGTTTTTGTTCGGTCTTTTATTTCTTTTTTCGGGTGTGTTTTTTGGTGTGGGCGCCACACGCTGTGGTGGGGGCGGCCGCGTATTAAGCAATTTTTCAGAGCAGTTTCACAGCAGTTTCAGGGGCAGACACTCGCACAAGTCTGGCTGGAGAGCAATCCAGAGATAAGTGTTTGTTTTAGGGGGTCTATTAGGAGCGACACTAACAAATAATGACAATTGATATGTCTGGCATTGATCGAAAGGACCGAAAAGACCGAAAAGGCTTCCTGGAAATTTAGAGTCCAAATTATAACTACAGAATGGGCCCTTTGTGCCCGTAACTTTCTTAATTAAAACTCAATAGAGCGCACGTTGAGTGCCTTCGGGGCACGGGAATGTTGAAAACAAATTGCGAACAACATTCTCAAGGGAAAATTATGTCAATGCACAATGCAAAACTAATTTGGCAACTTGGCAGCGCCCGAAACGAAACCTACTTTTGCTTTAGACGCAACTTTGATGAAATCCTTTATTGCGGTGCTGCTGCTGCTGGCTCCTGGCTCCTGGTGTTCCTGAAGTATTGTGTAGTGGATTCCATGGCCTATCGCTAACACTTATCCACCATACCAGCAACTAACTCATAAAGCCAGAGCCAGAGCCAAAGCCAGAGCCAAAGAAAGAAGCAAGTGCAACTTTTACAGTTTTCTAGCCAAGAAAACAAAAAGCATAACCGAAAACTGCTGCGTTGTGGCAAAACTTTCTTAATAGATTTCTGCTCTGCGATAAACTTTTTCCCAATACAACAAAAACATCGAAGGAATAAAGAAGCAAACCAGAAGCAATACTTTTTTCTCACACAGAACTCCTCTAACGAGACGGGGACGGAGACGGACACAGAGTCGGAGACGGAGACGGAGACGTAGACGGGAATCGTATTGTGGCCATCTTTTCTCCTAAATTCAGTTTAGTTATAGAAATTGATTTTCATCCTGATGCCGGCATCTTGGGTTTGTATTTGGGCTTAGGCAAAGTTTCCTCTCAGCTTTTGTTCGGGTGTGGAGCTGGGCTTCGTCCTTCATCCCTCATTCTAATGCCGGGCTTATTGTTTACACATCATATTACATTATGGCTGCTATATAAATGATAATCTAATTGGTTTTGTTCGAGAGTCTGCCTGCCAGTGTTGATAAACTTGTGCTGACGTAGTTGAAGAGGGAAACGACGGAGTGCAGGCGAAGGGGAGGCATGGCAGTGGTAGGGATATACATATTAGAAAAGGTTTTAGTTTGGCTGAGAGTGAAAACCTATTTCCATGAGCAGCCAGTGTTGGAAAGATCAACAAGGAGGATTTAAAAAGGAAAAGATTGACCTGAATGGTATTAGAATCGCTTCAACAATCAGTTTATTGTTTCTGAAGTGAAAGAGTATTTAAATTAACCAGAGAGTGTTGTGAAAGTCATTAAAGAGTGTTGCTAAAGGGAATCGGAGGAACAGAAGGCCTCTAAGAGACACAAAAGTAGGGATATATAACTATATGAACTATTTTTATAAGCAGAGGGAGTTTTCAATTCCCACCCAGTGTTGTAAAACTTAAGCAAAACAGCAATCTTCAGGAAAACTAAAGGGAAAACTACTTCCTTGAATAGATGCTTATAATTCTAAAACTAAACATCTACGGATACATTCTTTGTTTCTTTGTGCTCCGCCAGTGTTGGTAAAGGCTTAGTTTCCTCATTACTTTGCCACTAAATGCGGATCCTTCTGTGTTCTGTCTTCTCTGTCAGCCAATTTCCAGCCTTCCCACTGGATCCCACTCGCTGTGTACAGTGTACACAGCCTACCCCATAAATCCCACCCCAGTAACAAGTTAATCTTCATTTTCCTGTTGCCTTTCTATTAAAATGCCATGCATCAAAGTGCACGACAAGTCAGAGAGTTCTCCAGTCACTGCAAAAATGCAAGGCACAGAGTTTTTCTGCTCCCTGCTCTCCTCTCCGGTCCGGTCCGTCTGTCAGGGACCTCATAAACTCAATTAGAATGAACGAGCGCAGAACTGGCATAAGAACTGGCTACAATCTGGCTGTGTATGTACTCCGTTTACTCTGTTACGGGCACCCACATGTAGATGTAGATGCAGATGCAGATGCAAAATGCAGCGACAGTCTCTCTCTCTCTCTCTGCCGCACTGATGGACTGATGGGTAATCCTGGATGGTTAATCAACAGCAACAAGCCGGAATAGCACTCATAATTAGGGGGAAACCGAACTCTGGGAAGTGGAAAAAGGAACTCCACCACTACTCCCTGGGAAGTAGGGAAATTGACTGCGGTTTGGGGTTGGTCAACGAAGTTTTTTTTTTTTTTTGATTAGGCAGGAAGAAGTTTAGTGCGTTTTTGCCCTCCTGTCTTGGTTGTTTGTTTCGCGCTCCATTTAATAATTTAATGACAGCAAATTTGTTGCAATTGCACAGGCAATCCTGTGGGAAGTAGCCCTGCCGGAAATGAGTTCTTGATGGCATTCGGTGGCACTCGAGGACCACCGCCAGAGCCCAGGCCCCCAGACGAGAGACAAACAAAACTTTCAAGTGTCTGGTTGGACCCTGAACTCGACTCTACTCGACTCGACTCGACTCGCCTGCTAATTAAGCCGTGTCCATGTCCATTGTCGGATTCGGATTCGGGTTTGGGCTTGGGGTCTGGGGTTTTTCGGCTTCAGCTGGTGCTGATACTGCATTCGAGCCTGAAATAAATTAGAGTTGCGACACTTGAGCACGGCTTCCCCAAACTTTTTCTCCCCCATTCCCATTTTCAATGTCAGACAATGGCCCACGACGCGCCGTTTTTGTCTGTGGAAAATTTATGTGTCTGCATTTCATTTCGGGTGCAGGCGAAACTTCTGCCACACGCCGTCGCATTTTCATTGTTTTATTATTATTTTTATTTTTTATTTGCAATATACTGTCTGCTCTTTTTGGGTATTTGCAATTAGTTTTTGTGGGGTGTGGACGGACGAGCCATAAGCCCGCAATATTGTTCAATAAATTTGCATTGATCATAAACAAATTGCAGTGTTTTTGCGGGTTTGTTTTTTACGTGCGTGCGTTCACTCGATTGGTTTTTGTCTGTGTCTGTGTCTGTGTCTGCCTTTCAATTGTTTAATAATTATGAAATACACGTTTCCATTCAACCGACGACAGCGAATTCTCATTTATTTGTTTTATTTATTTGAATTTATTTGGACACATGAATTTCATTCGAAGCCTTTTGTCTAGCAATTATTTCATAAATGATTAAGCAACAATAATTATGGACTCTGAATGGCAGTACTGGTAGAACATGATCTATCAAAATTATTCATTCATTCTTACCTTAATGTAATGTAAAGGATACAATTTTTAGGCACTGCAACATTGTGTCAGCCAGATCGTTTGGCATCTGAAAATAAAGAATGAAAGAAAAGGGATAAGTATTATTACTTAGCGGGACAGTGGACATTTCACTCATCAATCAGCTGCTGGTGGAGCATTTCAAGGGTCACTTAGAGGGAACATTCCATGAGAATGAGAGGCAGGGACCGGCTCCCAATATAAACTGAAGGGATGATACTCCCAATGAGGATAAAACTCCCCAAGAAGAGCATGAATCCTTCAAGCCACAAGAGACTTCCACGAACACTGAAGGATACAACTCCTCAAAAAGGAATGAACAATTGGTTTAAAAATATCGATAAAGATGATAAATGGCATATTTTATTCGTATTTTTCATAATTTTCTCCAAGGAATATTCTTTATTCTTGTTACTGACTGAGTATCGGGTATAAAGTAGAGCCGCGGCCCTTGCCACAACTTTCTCAATCTATGGCTTCTTGGAATTGGGGATCCGTGTACTTGTGCTTAGACGTGCACACACTGTGGATTCTGGGGACCGAAATGGCCAGTGATCCCCTCCCCATTCAACCCACTATTCCCTGAAACAATATCCCACCCCCAGCCCCACTCGAACCATTTGCAATGCCAATTAGAGTGTTTTTATTTAAACTTCAAGATTTTGGGTTCCCCGAATACCGTTCCTGCTGCTGTCCGGACGGATCCTGTCTGTCAGTAGCCCAACAGGTTCATAACCATATGATATAGCCAGACGATCCACATCGGCGGCTGCTTCATTTCGCAGGGTATTCCATACCGATTGAAGCTCTTGAAGATGGAACGCCCTTGCCTGTCGCTGTAGCACGTTTTTTTGGGACTGGAGGTGGCCTTGATGTCGCACTTGCCCCACCAGCATTTGGTGGGTTTCTTGCACGGCGGTGGCTGGACCTTTTGGGGCCAGATCATGGACATGAAGGTGCTCGACGGTGCCTTACACTTGGGGCATGGTTTGGGTTTAGGTTTGGCCTTGGGGCATGTTGCTGGTTTAGCCTTGGGGCATGTTGGTGGCTTAGCCTTGGGGCACACGGCTTGGGGCTTGCCGGAGCAGTAGTTGAGCAAACCCTTGATCCTGGGACAACAGTCGAGGCTCCACCTGCTCCTGGCCTTCACTCGACTCTTCGCGCGGCAGCAGAAGCCTCCCTCGCTGTTCGTAACCGCCGTCACACAATAGGAAATCAGCAGGATGCCCACAAGGATGCCGGCCGCCGTTTTCACCCACCTGTCTGCATCCTTGAGGTCCACAAATAGCTTGACGACATAGTAGCCCAGGGTGATCCAGAAGCTGATCGTGCAGATGGCAAAGAACCTGAAGGGAGGCTGCCATTAGGGATCGGGAATCTGGCATCTAGAAGGGGGTTCTTACATGAGCACGCCCATGATCTCAATGATGAAGGTGACAATCTGATTGATTCGCATGTCCCCAAACAGCTGGATGCCCGCGGCGTTGTTGTTTCTGTTGTTGTAGCTGTTGTTGGGTGGGGGTCCCCCATATCCGTCGTCAAACTCTACCAGACCCGGACCGCGTCCACTTCCGGTGGCGCCTGCTCTTGCCATTACGCTTGCGCCAGCTCTCGAGACGCTTCTCGAGCCCTCATTGCAGATACTGCCCACAGTCCCGGTGCCACTGTTGCCGTAGGCTCTGGCTCCGCAGTCGCTTACTCCACCGCCGGAGGCTTTCGGCATCCCGAAGCCGCTGCCCTCGAAGGCGCTTATCCTGCCGGCGGCTTCGCCTTCGACTCCACTGAAGCCGCTGCCCTCGGTTCGGACCACGCTGCTTGACACTTGCTGCGGCTGGGGTAAGGCCGGCTGCGTGCGACTGGTGCACACGGCGTTACAGCCCGTGCCGTAGCCGCAGCTCTCATCGCAGTGCAGCTCCGCACTGCAGAGCCTGTGTCCGGGGCCCACCAGATCGCCGGTGCCCTGCGGCACACGAACCCCAAACGTGTCGCGGATATTGGAGTGGCGCACGTACGAAGACGTATTCGCAGCCTCCTCGTGGCCGCATGTGATGTCGACCACCGCCGGCACTATGGTGCCCGCCGGCAGGGTGCTGTCCCGCTCCCCAAACGAGTCCTGTTCCTTGAAGTTCATGTGCCTGTCCTCGTCGAGGGGATCTTCCCCCGAGGGGGGTTCCCCGTTGCCGGCAGGACTTCTGGGTCTGCAGGGCTTTCCGCCATTGGCCCGCGCCCTCCTGAGGGCCTTGCACTTCTGGCACGGACACGGCGCCGTGCACAAGTGGCGCATAGCCTTGCTCAGGCTGTAGTCCATCATCGCCATGGTTCTGGCACCACACAGGATCCTCCACAGGATCCTCCGTCCACGGCCTAAGTTTGAGTTTTTTGCGCCAGGTTTTATTTCTATTTTTTGGACCTTGGGGGAATGGGGTGTTGACTGATGTTTGGGCTCGAAACGACTAAAACAAAGGCCACTTTTCGGATATTGCCAGATAAAGAAAACGATCAAGCATCGAAGAATCTGTTTCTGCTTCGTTTTTGGATGAATTTTAATTAAAATAATCAATTCGCAATCGAAAACTGATTTATTTCCCATCAAATTTATTCCCAAACAAAGAATAAACCATATTCAATCATCTTCTGTCCAAATTCCGGCTACTCTTCAATGTTTGCTGCTCTTAAATACCCCAAAATCTCATGCATTTTGTATGCCCGATGCAATGTCATTGATCCACATTGAAAATGCAGCAAATCTTGTCAACGACAGGCCAAATGCAGAGAGCCTTAAATGCCAAGGACATGGCCAGGACAGGCAGTGTCGGCAGGTCGGCCGAAAGGCCAAAAGCCAGAAACTGTGAAAATGTCAAAGTTAAGAGAAGTCAGCTGTTCCAAAGGGAAGCCAGCCAGCCAGCCAGCCAGGCAAGGACGAGCCAACAAAAGCAATAAGGACAACTCGAACAGGCAATAAAATTGTGGGTATAACCTCAAAAAAAAAAACACTCAGACCCAGCAGTATATATGCTATATAGAGTGACGATATATAGCGGATAAAACCAAGTTCAATATATGGTCAAGTGCAGTGGCAGACCCTAGCCAGAGATCTGGCCGTGAGGAGGGGCACAAATAAATTAATTATTAATACGATTTTGGCAAGCCACACAGCTGGGCACACTGCCAAAAAAAACCCAAAGACAAAAAGGAAACAAGAGGCACCACTCGAGTGTTTTGTTATTGTTTTGTAGGAAAAGTTGCCGCCCGAAAGGCATTAGCCAAAACTTTTCCAAAGCTTATTTTATTCAATATTCTTATACGTATACGTATACGTATACGGGTGAAAAGTGCCAGACACCACTGGGGATTTATTTAAGTGGCTTTAAAGGCCTCCCCGCCACCGCACCGACCCCCCACGAGCCCCCATGAGCCCCAAGAAGATGCAAAAGTTTTGCATTTCATTTGTATACTTTGCATAAATTGAAAAGCCAAATCCGAAGCCAAAACCCAGCCAAAGCCCAAGCCAAAGCCAAAGCCAAAGCCAAATGCCTCTAATTAAACTGCCAATACGAAATGGAAGCAACAAATCGTAGCGGAATAATTTATCGGCACTAATGGGCGCCACCACCCAAAAAAAGAAGAGAAAAAAGATAAAAAGAAGGGGTTTTAATAGAGGATGTTCGGGCGGAAGTTGTCTTCTGAATAATTGACTTTAGACCTAATTGCTTTCGAGAGGCCGAGGACTAGACAATCGAAACAATTGAGAATAGAAAATGAAATTCAATATGAACGAAGGCCTCTAAGCCACAGCCTTCGGGGGGGTGTTGGGGCGTTGGTCCTTTTCTGGTCAAGTTCATTCGATTATCTAAAATGATGGCAATTAAAATTAATTTGCATTCGGCTTCCGCACCAAGAACAAAAAAACTCTACCATCAAATGGAGAATTAAAAGTAAATTGAAAGTGAAATTAATTGCAGGCCCAGCGCGAGGGTGCCCAGAGTTCATCAGACTCTCTCTTTCTCTCTGTGGCCCATTGCAATTAATTGTTTAATGAATGCATCATCAGAAGAGCACAATTTACTGGGAAAAAGCACTCGAATCTCTGGGATCTTGGATCGAAAGTACTCGAGCCTGCTCCTTCATCATTTATCAATTTCATTTCACAGTTTGCCGGCGAGTACGAGTACGAGTATGTATCATTTTTCTTTACCCCGTTCTTCAGTGGAGCACGGATTTCCATTCAACAAAGTTAGTCAGTCTGTCTGTCAGTTAGCTGTTGGTCAGTAGTCCCTAAAGTTGGTCGGTTTTGGATTTCCAGCGACCGGCGACACTTGACACGAACCGAAAACTAACTGCGGCTACGTGAGAGATTGGAGAGAGACAAGGGCCCTTCTCTTTGCCCGCTCCCTTTTATTCGTTCGCTCATTCATTCATTCGTTCTGTGATTCAGTCAGGCATTCACTCATTCATTTCGGTCAGCGTCGAACAAAGACGCCTCTGGTCAGCCAACTGTTGACATTGCTAAATGAATGAACCCTAGTTAAGTTACAAAATTGCAGCGAGAAAAAAGGAAAAAAGAAGTGGACAGGAAGAGGAATTTCGGAATGGAAAAAGGACGAATATGGGATGCTCTAACAAGGCAGAAAACTATGTCCGGAAATGGAGATCTGAAATCCAAAACTGGACTATCCTGAAAGGCCGGCTTCTGGGATACTCTTTCTATCTAAAAACCCCCTTCCTTCTGTGTTTAATCTCTCAACAAACAAAACCAAATGATTCAATTAATGAGTAGTTTATTTGTATTAAAAATTATCCATAGATTGAGTAAACTTTTGCCGTTTTTCTACTATTTTTTTTTTGTATTTTCTATAATATCACTTTTTAATGCCGTAATTAACACATATTTTGCATTAAAAAAACCACAAATATATTGTTTGAGCTGCATAAAAAAAACACATAATATGCTCGGGCGATACCCTACCTTCCCTGCGAGTTTTGCCATTATTTTCCATGAAGGCAGATGATGGGCAAAAAGGGAGAGATACATGCATACTAAAAGAGAGCAAGCGAGAGGGAGATACACTCGGGAGAGTGCAAATCAAATGCATTAAGCGCAACGGTAACTGAGAATGCTCGAATATCAACCTGAAGCTATCTGCAGGCTCTGGCCGTTCCATTTATCCATTTAGCGAGAGATGGAAAAAACTATTTCCTTTTTCCCTGCTCTCTCTCTCTCTCTCTCTCGTGCGAACACTTTGCACGTAGCTGCAGTTCAGAACAAAGCCTGGAACTGCAGATAGGGTGGGGGCTAGGGGGCTAGGGGGCTAGGGGGGCTAGGATCCGGCGTAAATCCCATAAAAATGAAAATGGCCAAGGAAGTTTGAAATTGCAATTTAATTTCGACCGCAAACACGAACCTGAACCTGTTCCGAGAGCAGTGGACCAGAACCCTTCCTGCAGGAAACTAATGGCGCCAGAGATACGGCGATAGCAAGGGGGGGTGGCGGGGCTACGGATCCAAGGATGGAGTTTTTCCCGATGCTGTGAGGGTGGGTTCTAGCCCCTAGCCCCCATATTGATGGCTGGGCATGCATTATAACGACCCCATTTGGTAACCTTTGCCCCTGCCTTCGACTCTGAGAAGTTTTGTTTGTTTGTTTGCCGCATGCCGGAGACTCCCACTCGCCCCTCCAGTCACATGTGTGTGTCGCATTTATCACTGAATCGCATTTTAACCACAGGATATTTGATCTTGTGCCATTTGACATAAGTCTTGGGGAGACCAGGGCCCCTGGACCATGGACCATGGACCACTCTCCTTCGCTCCGACATGTGGATACACATTTGCCAAATGCGCTGCAATCCACTGGGGGGACTAGGAGGAGGAGCTCTGTTTGTGCTCTCGAAAATCAATAAACTGATAAACATATTGCATTGTGCCGTGTATCATGGCTGAAAATTGAATCGAATTCCGTGCGGGAAAATGGGAAAAAGCCAAAACGCTAGTCCAATGCTAAATTTATGACAAAAGTTAAGCAGCCAATCGATGGGGGATTCTGCAGCGAAATTTAAGCCAAATTTTGGCAAATATTTCGTTTAATTTTGGGCTTAATGAGAGTTCAAACATAATGACTGGACTTTGTTTGGCCGAAATTAGTTGCAGTTTAAGGGATTTGCATTCCCCCCCTGATACCTGCCTTGACCATAATCCGCTCTCATTATGCTTTAATTAACCAAAACTTTCGTAGTATTTCCCGTTTAATTTCCAACTCCTTAATTATTCTATTCAATTCAGTTTTCTCTCACAAATTCGTCTCTTTTAGAGCTTTCGTCTGCTCGAATTAGTTTAATCAAATGAAAGCGAATCGGGCCCCCGGGGGGGAGCATTCCAGGAAAGGACTGCAGGGGCATCTCTCGGCACTTGGCTTCTCATTTCAAAGGCAGAACTCAAGACTTGACTCGGGGAAGCAGCAGCAGCAGCAGCAGCAGCAGCATCGCTTGACTTGTTTAAATGCCAGGAAAAGCAGTGAAGCATACCCCCTCCCCCACCATCCACATTTTTCTCCTGTTGGGGCAGAAAATATTTGCCTTTGTTATTGGATCAGTTTTTCCTTGGTTTCGGGGGCTGCCGATAAAACAAAGCGTCATTGGGGGATGGGTATCCGAAAGTTTGGCATAATAAAATATTATGATTATGTTGTGGCAGGGCCAGAGGAGTCCACGATTTGACGCCCCAAAGCGTAATCAAGAGAAATATCAATGATTCAATTCATGACAAGTGTTTGCCCGAGTCAAATTTGTTGCTTGTTTTTCCATCAGTCCACGAAGTACATCTCCATTCCGGCGTACCCTCATCGACATCATTATCGTGGGGCTGCTGCTTGAATTTTTATGAGAAAAGTGGCCCCATAATCATTATGTATGAGTGCCATTACCCTCCCATCCCATCCCCCCCCACACACACCCCGAAAACAAGCAAGACAATCATTATCGTTGATGGAGCCCCACCACCTCTCATCAATGAGTGTGCAAGCGAAAGGAAAAACTATTTTCCCATTTTCCTGGCACACTGCTGAACATTTGATCAAGTAATTTGTCAATAATACTAAAGATGAATCTTTATATGAGTTGCACTCGTTATAAATGGACCCCACTGATGATCTACGGTCTAGACGGAGGGACATTATATGTATTTGCTGCATAAAGATTGCGTAGTAGATGGCCAGAGCAATGAACTTTCCTGAAAATGACAAAGGAGCTGAGGATTAATGTTTCATTTTTCAACAAAAAGCTTTAAAAATCGGCTCCATGTGCATCTCTCGGTCTCGTCCGATATTTTACTCACTTTTGCGCGAGCCATCAAAGCGAGTGAGCCGGGGGTGAGCCAGGGGTGAGCCGGGGGTGAGCCGGGGAGCGAAGCGTATATGCTGTGGGCTTGCCCTCTCG